TATATATATATATATATATAGTTATTTCTGGTAATTCTTAATGGACTTTTGCTGTTTAAGATTGAATGATGAGGTTTTATTATTTACTCATAGATAAAAGATGAGATACGGGATGAAAATATTTTTGGTTGAAATGTTAGAGAAGATGATAAGTTACTGAAATTGTCTTGAGGAAGGGGAGGTTGTTTCTTTATATATTCCTTTTTCTTTATCTATTTCTTTTTTTCCCTTTGCACTTTTTATTTCTCCTTTTTTCCTTTTTTACATTTTTCTTAGTTTATATTAGTTTTTTATCTTTGTATTTTTAAACTTTAATAAAATTATTATTAAAAAAAGAATGTATATTAATTTTATTCCAGATATTTGTATATCACCCTTCATAAAAATGTATCAGGGTTGTCCTCAACATTAATTTATAATAACATTGTTACATAATTAAATATTTATCTAAAGCATTTACATTAAAAAGAATGATGAGAATAAGACCAAGTCAGGCAGCCAAATTGGTAATTTAATAACAGTATTTGATCATGAAAATACCAAGTATTCATTTAAGATTATTTTTCCCCTTTCACTTTCAGGATAATATGCTTTTCTGTGACTCTTGTGATAGAGGTTTCCACATGGAGTGCTGTGACCCACCACTTTCTCGAATGCCAAAAGGTGATATTTGCAGAACCTTTGAATCTGAATGCACTGATGTTTTGTTCAGTTATGCTGTCACTGATTCCAGGAGTTATTTATGTGGAATCTGGTAGTGCTAGAACATACGTATGCTTATGATGGAGCATTCTGAACATTTGAAGATCTTTTCTCTTGGTTTACTTTACTAATTGCATTCATAACACTTTTAAAGTTTAGGTGTCTCATGAAAACTGTTTTTTTTAAGTCCTTGGCTAAAGGTCTGTGATATGCTAAATAATGCCTCAGTGAGATGTGAATGAGGCTAACCCTGCTTAGATTCACTGCATGATTCTTTCTTCCTTCCAAAAGATCTGGAAACTTTTGTTGCATCCAGAATTATGAAGAACCTTAACTGTGGTTAATGAAGGAAATATCCATTGTAGCACCTAGAGCTGGCTTGTTTAAACATAATTTCAATTAATCATATTTGCAGGATCAGTTAGTATATTTTCCCTGATGAAGGAGTGAAGGAAGGCATCTCTGGCCTCTTTGCTGCAACTTCTTACGGATGGGGCTATTCTCTACCTTAATATATTATGAAATAACAGTACTTGGATTTTAAGATTACAAATACACATTTTCCATTTTATGAAAGAAGAAAAATGTGCTATAATTTACTCCCTCTATCTTTAATTCTTAAAACGTAATGTGATAATCAGTAATCTATTAAGCCTTTTACTGCTGATAAGGTGGGTTATATTTTGATTTCATGCTGTTTATTACGGCGTTGGAAATGATTTTTTTATATCAAAGTCTCCTATGTTGCTCCTTTCTAATACTTTCAGCTGGATAATTAATCAAAAGCTTAGAATAAAAATAGCTTTTAAAGTGAACAGCTTATCCTGCCTAGGAGGATTTATTACACAAAAACACATAAAGATTTCTCTATAGTACAGACTATGAGTGGTATGCACCTTCCTCATCTGAGCTCTCAGACTAGAGAGATAGGGCTGTTATCATATATCATGTCTTCATACTATAGGTTCCATGAATTTGTTTTGCTTTTTTCTTATTCACAGGAGCTAGTCCTACTTGCTGTGTTGTTTTATTCTACTTTCTATCCAACTCTATTGTATTTATCATTCTATAGTCTACCTTCTGGCTCTGTATTTTAACTACAATATACTCTAATTCTACTACATATGTCTATTTAAAGTTCTTCAATCTATTTTTCCTTTTATTTCTACCTGGGACTTGAGGTCTCTCTTGAGTCTTTAACTTCCCAGGCCTTTCCACTGTCATTGCATGGCCTCAGTTGACTGGATCTTGAGTGGAGGCTGGTGTTCTTGTCTACTTTGTCCTTGCTTCTTGATGGCTGTCATTGATATCAGGATTTTAGCTTTCTTGACCATTGGCAGCTGTGACTTTCTCAGGACTTCCTCCTCTCCTGTTCTTTACCTTGTCAGCTTCATCCTAGAGCCCATTAAAACATCTCTGGTGGCTATTTGTGTTACTGCACCTGCTGGCACTGTCTTGTCATTTGTTCTTAATGGGGGGGGGCAATTTTCAAAGCCCCAATGACACCAACTGCTGTCCTCCCCTGCTGTTTTCTCCCTCAGTGTGGTTTGGGTTCTCAGCTGGCCTTCTCCCTTTTTCCTTCTGTTAAAGGCTGCTAGTCCCCTGCTAGCTGTTTCAAAGGGGCTTATTTCTGGGGGTCTGCCTGCTTGCATTTCCTTAGTTGAAGAATGGCTCAACTGCTGTTCCTCTGTCTGCTTCCCCCACTGCTCACCCTGTTAGGAATCCTGAAAATATCCAAAAGGAGAGGGAGGAAGGGGCAGAGGGATTGGCCAACATCTCCTTCATCCGCAGCAATTTATCCTTTTTGTAGATTAATAGTGAAAAATTGTATTTAGTGCTCCATACACAGAAAGTACACCTTGTAACAAAAAAGGAAATTGGAATATCAAGTATCCTATTCATGTATTCTGCAGAAGGCGTGATCCTTTCTTCATAGACTGAGAAAGACTTTTGGGGGGTGGGCTTCCTGGTGCTTCCCTTTCAGGGCCTTGTTGATACAAAAATATATTTTTCCCTGTTTGTTAAGAGAGGAGATGAGTTTTAATCCACATCTACATCAACTCTTTCATCAGTTCGAGGTTTGGAAGTTAAATAAATAAATTTCTGCTATCTTACAGGTGTGGAAAGTGCAACCCTTCAAATTTTCCAACCAGCATGATAGTTGAAGAATCCTGAGTTTCAATGCATGGTGCCAGGCAATTTATGCCCAGCTGTCCTATCCTTTCAGCAGTTTAGCTATAAAAATATAACCTGATTCAATCAAAAGCTGTCATGAAACACCTTTAATATATCAGTAAAAGCACCTAATAGATACTATCTCCAAATGCTCTTTGAAATAGCTTGCTCATTTTTGAGGACTCTAATGACTGTCCCTCCCTAAGGGGAAGAATCCCATATTTTAGGTATCCTATAACTAGCAAGTCCCTGTCTCAAGTAATAAATAAAGTATTAATAAAGTGAAACATAGGAGCAGGGCCCCAAAAGATAGTCTAAATGAAAGGATAAAATTGTGTGGGAGTTATCTTGTCTAAAGTAGGAGTTTAACCTCTGTGCTAAACATGTGTTGTGATGGTCGTTTACTATAAAATGTTGAAAACCATTGAGAGTTCATAAGGTGCATAGGTAAGCAATCTCTATTTTAAAAAATGTATTTAATTTGTAAATAGAACTTTTAAAATGTTTTCTTAGAAGACTTATCTTCTCAAAAGCAATCATTGAATGATAACGCATGAATGATAATAGAGTACAACATTACTCTTGCTGCTGCCTTTTTCTTCATTGCCAAAAAAAGTCCAGATATTGTTGGACATGAATGTCTGCCTATAGATTCAATATTACTGTTAAATTCATCTCTTTGCTTACCAAGCTTGAAGGGCATGGATAATGTTGGTGGGATAGGTGAACAAAATCACTGTATGTCAAGAAAATGGCATGACGTTTGGGTCTTACTTGATACAAGATGCTTATATGTCTATTGTCTCTCATCATTCAGTTCACTTGGAAGCGTATTATGAGTGTGAGCGGGTAGCAGAATTAATCAGCTTTGTTTCATGTTGAATACAGGTATGTGGATTTGCCAAGTCTGCAGACCAAAGAAAAAAGGAAGGAAGTTGCTTCATGAGAGAGCTTCACAGATAAGGCGACGCTACACAAAACCTATTGGACGGCCAAAAAACAAACTAAAGCAACAAATGTTGTAAGTATTCTGTCTTATTTTTCTTTCCATTATGGAGATCTTGTCCTGATGATCAGTTTCAAATGAGGTGAATAATATTTTTCCCCCATTCCACTACAAGTTATTTGATGCCATACTTCTTTCTCCTATTGAACCTCATAGTATTTGTTTTATCTGTTTTTTTGTTTGCTTTTGATGTATAGAAATGCCCAGAACTATGAGATTAAAATCAAGATACTTTTAAAAGTGCATTGGAATATTTTTGATGCATATATTATTTGGCAGAACAGTTTAAATAGTTACTCAAGCAGCTTACCTTCATCCTGATCTGTGTGTTCTAGTAATAGAGCAGTAGCAACTGAATATGCCCCAATGCAAATAGCACAATAAATTCTTGCATGTGGGGTAATTGCTCTTCGTCCTAAAGAAGCAGGCAAATTCATGTTTGTGCTTTGATTGTGGAAGTCTATATTCCCACAATCATAACTGAGGAGACAAGCAAATTAGTTCTCATTATAGTGTTAAAAGAGACAAGATCTGTACATGTTTCAGCAGATGAGGCAAAAATAGCTTGTGAGTGTTTGCCTCCTTTATGTTAAAAAAAACCCCTATGCTATAATATATAGATAAATCAGTTTGACCCACATCATTGAAGGAATAATACAGAAATGATGCTGCTTACTTGACCTTTGTGGCTTGAACAATAGTGTGAAAACACATAACACCTGGTGCCCATTAGCATAGCTACATAGCTAATGCCAGGGGTTGAAATATTCAGACAACTATGTGGAAATATTAGAAGAGTAACCAGATTGCCGATGTCAGTAACTAATAAACTGAGCTGTATGTAGGAATGAGGAATGAATAATAGACTAGATGGAAAGATGCTGAGATCTTTAAACCAAATGGCTACCTTAGGTTGACCTTTCTCTTAGTCTTAAGTGTGTTAAGGTTCCCTACATTTCTTTATTAGGTGGGGGGAGGGGGGAGGGAAGGTGGCTTCTATAGAATATTTAATATTCAGTAAGACGCAAGAAGGGACTAAATCGATTTGAAGTAATTGCAAATTTTTCTGTTGATTTTCAGTTGGATAACTCTTTCTGTCTGTGCATATTCTTACATGTAAAAGAGAGAGAAAGTGAAATATCCTCCTTTTAGTCACTAATACTACAGAGATTGGGCTGGCATTTACTTAAAAAAGATATTTCTTTAACCTTTCAGTGCTTCCTTAAGCAAACTGTATGTTTTTTTCCCACTAAAATTCAGTACTTCTCTGTCATTCCTTCTCCAGGTCTTGTTTTCCTTTGTTGTTAGTTTTATTTAGGCCTTCTGTAACTTTTTGCTAGGCTTGCACGCTTTTTGCAGTTAAAAAATAAATTACTGTGTTTGCATTTTGCTCTTAATGGTATCTAGAATAAGATTCTTCTTTAGAAACTAATTTACTTTAAGTAGCATTTTATGGCTAATATAAAAGTGGTATTTTTGTAAGCAAGCATCTATGTAGTATTATATGAGAGTATACTACATTTGGGGTGCTGTCTTCCTCTGTATTGTTGGAATTTTGTTTTTAAAGTTGTTGCCTTAATAGAATAAACTGATTTGCAGCTTATCTGTCATGACCCTCTGGATGCGTGTTGTGGTTGTAACTGTGCTTCGGGGGCAGAGGTTTTATGGTTAGATGCAGCCTCACTTTTTTTTTTTTTTTAATTTCC